AGAGATTTCCTCTGAGGTGTGTACGGTGGCCAGCTAGGGACCCTACAGTTGCGCTATTAAACCAACAGGCGGCAACAAATTAACATAAATTAGACAGAAACATCAATTTTGTAGACATTTTGTAGCATGTAATCATAATCACTGTGAAAAAAAAAATTATTTGGTTATAAATTAAAAAAAAAAAAATCAAGCCAACAGAAATGTGACTTGATCGCAGAGATAGGGGAAATGATAAAAACTTATTCTAAATAAGACATACATGTATTTGCTTTATAGCCTATTGACTTGAAAACGGCTATTGTAAATCTTGTGTTCTAATTAAAAACAAATGCATTAATCCAGTTATTGGGATGATGTGATGGCAGCCATGTATGAAAGCCATAGTTTCTGTGATCTCTACCCCCTCTACCGTGCATTATCTCAGCTCTCTCCCGAACCCGGAACCTCACACTCACGTATCTCCCTAGGGTTTGCCTGTTAGAGTTAATGTACCGAAACTAAGTCATGGAAGTTCAATATCTCAGCTCACGCTCCAGTGGGAGAGAGCATGCAATTCTGTCCACAACAATATTGTGCCGACTTGTGCTTCTACCTGTAAGAGTTTATGTTCTATCCACTGTCTCAGTAGGTCAAAATCAAGGTCCACTCATGCTTCAGTGGTAGAGAGTCAGAACATTCGAGCTCCACACAGAAAGGCCACAGCTGGGATTCCCACCCAAAATCGGCGCGCTGTTAGGCAGCATTGCTATTAACACAATAATCACAACACTAGCGTGCTGCCGTGTAGTGCCTTACAGGGCTTTGGCTCTCGAGAAAAAGTAAAGGGATCACCAAAGTCAGTAGTCTTCATCTTCCACAATCATCTGTAGGGTAATTACTCTCATGAAAAAACATCTTAAAGCTGCTAAGATTTCAAAGTGAACGAGCCATCAGACAGAAAAATGCCGCCATATATTTAGCCAAATGGCTGGCATGTCTGTAAACTATTGGAAATAAAAGAAATCTTACATTAATTTTCACTGTATTTAAAAAAGGCACATTTTTCATGCAGTGTAATCATCTTCCAACAAGAAACAAAGCCTCAGAGAATGAATATAGCCAATAAACAGAATGTTGAAAATGTACCCTCAGAGAAGAGCCATGTTTGATCAGTGTGTGAACTCTGTTTGACCGTGGATAAGCTGACGCGCCCGGCAATGTCGCCTGATGTGGCCTCGCCAGATTTCTGTCGGTTTGATCAGCCTCACTGTTCAGTGATTCAGAGACGCAGGGCATATTTCAGGCCCCTGTCTGACGCAGGCCACATCTTTGAAAGGCAAAAGAGAGGAACAAACACATCTTTAGAAGTGAAGGATCTGAGGGATGCATCAGAAAGAGAAGGGGAGAGGCGGGTGTATTGAAGAGTGGTGGAGAGGGTGGACATGAAAGACAACAAGGGGACACATAGAAATGAGAAGAGGGAGAACGGGTGTAATGGAGATAACACAGTTGTATCTGGCAGAGAGGCGCCAATGTACCTCTTTTTCAAGTCCCTTAGCCAGGCTAGCTGGTAATTAGCTCACAGACATTGGAGGGGTTTCGATTAGTTTAATTTAGCTCCTAGCAGAAACGGTTATCATCATATCTGTCACATCTGTCTGCTGAATATGTAATGGAGCTCAAATCAGCAGATAGTGAGCTTAGCTTGTACTGTGGGACGAAACAGCGTCAAATAATGAACTTTAACTCCAGCTGACCTTTATGTCCCTCTAATTTCTCATTTTTTTCAGAACCTATGTTAAATCAGCAGTTATGAAGAGACCCAATGTTAGTCATCAAAATAGGATTCCATTCATTTGTTTCACTTTAGATTCATTTTACCCGATAACTAAGTGGGTAGGTGAGCTGGTGTGTCTCCGTGAAATCTTTCTCGGCCATTTCTTTTTACCGTGACCAAGCAGGCAGTATCAGGTGGTGAGTCATCGCCCTGCAGGACACTTACATGTCTAACCTGTCTACACACAGCCTGTGTATGGAGTGAGTCTCTTAAATCAGCCTCTGATAATAAAGCTGCATCAACAAATAAATTACATTTCGCCACTCTACCTTTTTCCTTGTGAACTTTGCTCACATGTTTTTGACAGAAGGTGAATTATTTTATTCTAGGTCCAACAAAATCATCAAAAAGAGATCATTGGTTGACTCTGCAAATTGGCTCTCTTACTCCCCCTGCAGGCAGGATTATTTAATGTGGGTACTTGTACTTTGCTGGTGTATGTAACTTCACACATCTCTAGGTGTGCATAGAGATGGAAATGTTGTTTGTTTGTTTGTAACCTGATTATCTTCAATATTCTAAGTAGGTAACATTCAAATGGATGACAATAAGGGCTGTGACCATGCTGGGCCCCACCACCACACCCCAGGTTTACCCAGCACAGTTGCAATAACCACAACAAAGTGGGCACTGTAAGATCCAAAAACAGGGAACACAACCCACAGTTTTAGAAATTTTACCTACAAGATTTATTCAACAATAAAAAGCAAGTAAACTACTGAAAAAAAGAAGCGGATGAATCTGGTTAAAATAGCCTAAATAAAAGATATGAAGATGCTTGGGTAATCACACAATGGACCTTATACCACCAGCTTACAGTAAACTACCCGAAACAAAACACACAGAAACTGAAAACTGACCAGCCAAAATTAAAACGACAAACTAAAACAAAAGAAACACTGCAATCTTAAAAAATACAAACCTGCTTGGGGAGAAAGAGAGAATTAGAAGAATAAAAACTCCTGATGCTTTAGTGTGTATGTGTCATTCTTCCTCTGTACAATCCCTGCCCTCTAAATTGCACTCATGTGTGCAGCGGGCAGAAGGAGGAAGTAGACCAGGGAAACTCACAGAGCCAAACAAACAAACAAACAAACAAACAAACAAACAAACCATCTACATTTGTTCAGAACAATCGTACTTTACTTTAGAAAAAAAAACATGCCAAAGGTGTTCCACAGCTGTGGACGCTCTGACAGTGATGTCAGAAAGGCTGAAATCAAAGCACATGGCGCCATCTTGTGGTTATATACTGTTACTTTACATCTTGGTTTGCACATTATGGGAAAAAGTCGTAATTACAGTAATTGGTCAAATAATAAAATATCAGTTTCATGTAGTAAAAAGTATATTAAGTTTGATTTTGACAGGTGAAGAAACAAAAAAAGAAAAAGCCCAAATTGAGTCACCTTTCCCCAAATGTACCAGTGATGTAATCAAGTGTTCACTGAGGAGTAAATCAACACACAACAACACTTCATTTGTACTGATATTTAATATTTAGACATGGGGCAACAGCCAATTTTACAGCACAATTTGCATAATTTATCAATACCTCCTGTATACAATCACAAAACCAAGACATTAGATTTTTTTTCTGTTTACTTACAAATGAAAAACCAGACAGGTTTTACAAGCATAATCTTTGTACAGTCAGCATACATCTTGAATAATTGTATTTTGTCCTCTCTCTAAAACACTTTGTTCTATATCTTTCTCTACCTCGATCATATTTTTTTCTTTAATAATATCTGGACACAAAAATAGTATGAACCACCAACGAAACATGCAACATCCAGTGTGAGCACATTTAAATTCTCCTGCAACTGCTTGAGTTTTTAAGATAGACTTCTGTGTAGGTAGACTCTGGTAAACCTTTAGTGTTTGGTGTAAAGGGTCGGGGTAAATGTGGGTCCCTATAGACAGACGCTCGCTGCTTTCCCCCAGCCTGTCCTCTGTACATTGATCGTGAGAGAAAAAAAGTCCCTTTACCTCTATGACACACCTTTTTTTGTCTGCTAAAAGACATATTGCTCCCCAAACCCCAGTATAAAAAGCTATATATGTACAAGGTTGGGAATAGAGGGTAGAGATGTCAGCTGTGTGAGTGTTTTTGTGTGTTTGTGTGTGTGTGAGTGTGTTACTCTTTGAGAGATTTTAAAACCTGTTATCTTTAGACAGACAACACTTCAAAGAAGAGATATGCTTTAGAGCCAATGACATGCATGGGATTTGTATGAGGATACAACACACACAAGCACATGGGATCAATAATAAAAAAAAAAAACACACACACTGAGCTTAAAACTACGACCAGTTCTGGTAACATCCATTGATTACAATGTCGTCTATTTTGGTCATTTTGTCATACACTGAATCAAAAAAGGGGGTGCATAAAAAGATGGAAATTACTTGAATATGAAAGTGATTTTTTTTTTTTTTGTCATTGAAAACGTTGAGATTCAGGATGTGTGCGTGTCATTTTCTTTTGTGTGTGTTCGTGCAAGGGCAAAAAAAGTTGGTTCTCTGAGTTTCAGGCCCTCTAAACGTTGTAAACAAGCACTACATCGTGTATAAAAACAAAATTTCTCATCTTTTTATGTACAACTGATATGTACTGTAAACAAATATAATACAACATATGAAATAGTACCACAGGCAATAATAAATAAAGAGTGATTCAGCGGTACAAAATAACACTTGAAATAAAAGTAAAAACATCTCATGAAAACACAGCAGTGCAAAACAAATGTAAGATTGAATGTTTCCTCTTCCACACAGGGTCACACTTCTGGCAGGTCAGGATAGAGTTACCACCTTCAGACAGTAGATGTTGCATAGAAATCCCTCCGATATTTTATGTGTAGTTTCAGTAAATCTGCTCTCCTGCCTCTCAACCACAGAATGACCTCTCTCTCTCTGACACAGTAGATTTTCAAAGACGAACAAATTTCAAATTCAAGGTGGTATATGTTTTTTTAAGACAAGACGGGCATGAAGAAAGGAAAACAGCTGGGATAAAACATCAGCATGCTAACTTAGTAGCACTGTTGTATCTTTGAACTCTGATGGATAGCGTCAGACACATCGTGATTTTTGTTCAATTATAATATTTCCTGATAGCGTCACCTTTTCTTTTCACTTTCCACCGCTTAGGGGGTGAAAAGAGAAAGAAATTCTGTGGTGATTATTTTCTCAGACAGATGTTGAGGCCAGTTTTACATTCTTAGCAGAAAAAGTGCAAAATAACACAAAAGGGTTGTCGGGACAAAATAGCACGGACGTACAGGATGATGCTTCTCATGACAAACAACAACAATAAATCATAGGAATACTTCAATCTCATATGGGGAAACATTCCAAAAGGGCTTTGTGGGTAAAATAAAACCTCTATGTCACAATCATGGAGACTGGATTGTCAGTGATAAAGATATCTATGTATTTATCTATATATTATATTTAATATCCAGCTATCACACTTCACTATATACAAAGTGAACCTTAGAGGTGATTAATCATTGTACAGATCATGTGGCATCGCATTCCAAATAGGTAGACTCATGCGCACAATATATAGTGTCCAATTTAATATATATATCAATATAGATCTTCATCATCAGTTTACACTTAGGGAGAAAAACAAGGAGTCTAAAGTGAATGAAGTCATGCATGCTGACGTTGATTTTTTCCTTCTGGAATGCTAAGTAGCGTGTTATAAAATATACTATGCTCGCTTAGGATTGAGTTTTTTTTAAGTACTGCAATAATTAAGGAAAGGACAAATGATAGACTTCTATGTTTTTTCTTAATACAAAAATAAATACGAGGTCTCCGTACCGGAGTCTTCATTATTTCTTTCCCAAAATGCTTTGTAAATGAATAAAAACTCTGCGGTCGTAATAAAGCAATGAGTCAAACGTGTTCATGGATAAAACATCTAAATAAAATAAATAAGAATCTTCCAAGTGTGTCCATTCCCTGTAGAGTCTAAATGTCTGCTCTGTGTGGATACATGTGTGTGTGTCTGTGTGTTTGCGTGTGAATAAAGTGTGTAATACCTGGTTGTTTCCGTGCGCCACCTCCTAACTCAGCACCTGTGTTCCCCCCCAGCCTTGGCCACACTATTGTACACTGTACTTCCAGTAAACTTGTGTTGTTTTTTTTTGGCTCTGTAAACACAGAACTACTTCCGCCATAACTCCTGCATGACAGAAATTAGCATCAGAAATGCCCCTACAAAATAAAAGCATCCGCCGAACACTCAATCTATCCAAGCCCTGAAATAAAGACTGAAGAATGAGATATTTTTTGTCAAACTTCTCCTTTCCCCAACTCAGTACGAGTGGATCTAAGTTACACATGTTGAACCAAAGTGTCCCAGGTGTCACAGAACTCTTCTTGCCTTTAACATCGAGTCTCTCCTTCTACGAGTGGATCTGGGCGGTGCTGGCGAGCAGCTTGTGCCAACTCACCACCCGCTTGCGTAAGTCGACTTTGTCCAGCCACACGTAGGCCTCCCCGATCAGCGTCTTCTTCATAAATTTGCCACCATTAGACACCAGGAAGAGCTGGTGTAAGAAGGACAGGGAGCAGAACGTTATTTGATTGAGTTTTTAAAAGAATCAACCAGGTATACAAATGATTGATCAATGTGTAATGGAATAGTTTTACTTTTTCAGCCTGCTGTTTTATCCTTTTCCTAGTCTTTATGTTGAGCTAGGCTTAATATCTCTTTTTAACTCAAGAAAAGCATAGAAGCATAATGAAAAAACAACAACTACTGTAGCTGTTAGTGTACAGATATTTTTTAAAGTGGTTTTCTTTAAGGGCAATTTTTCCCCACATTGGCTAGGACAGCGGAAGAGAGACAGAAAAGAGCTGAGGTTGGATTCAAACCCTCAGCCGCTGCGACGAGGACTACAGTGTAGCCTCTGTACATGGGACGCATGCTTTGAGCACTGAGCTAAACATCTTTTTACAGATTAAAGAGGAAAAAAAAGGTAGCTGTACCTGTAGAGCGTGTCCGGCGGGGTTCATACAGAAGCGAAACGTTTCGTTAAAAGATGGCTCCCGGTCATGACGACAAACTCTGGTCTTCTTTTTGATGATCCTTTTCTGGGTGGCGATGTTCACTACATACAGCTTCACATAGAGATCTAAGAAAACAAACACACACACGTTTAGAGGTGTAAGCAGACATCAAACCACTATGAATGTGTCATTAAACTCATTTTCAACAGTTAAATAAAAACACAAGAATAAAACTGAAGCATTGTTGAGACTGATCAATTAAAAAGCACTTAGAGAAGAAATATAAACAAATATCAAGCATCCATATTGGAGATGAGTGGAGTATGTCTTTCTACAGCTGACCACTAGAGGGAGACAGCCGAGCTGCAACTGCAATATTGTGTTTGGAAAAACCAGGGCCTTTGAATATTGAGACGCTCCAAAGATACATCACCAAAAGCAGCTTAAAAAATAGTCCCGGATGCAAAAAGCCAATGATCGTGTGGTAATGCAATGATAACCTGCTAAACAATGCACGCTTGAGAGCAGCTACATACCGTCCTTAGAAATCAAGCTTTGTGTGCAGAGCCCATCTGGAGGCGAATGCAAATCACACAAGTGGCAGGCAGCTTGTGTATAAGGGGGGTGGATGTTAGAAAAGGAGGTGAGGTGGGCGACAATCTGCGTTTTATGGAGGGGAAGAGAAGTCGGGTTTTGCTGTCTACATGGAGACACGACTGTAAGGTGTAAATATAATCTATCTTACAAAGATATTATTGGGACATTTTTGCCTTTAATGGATAGGAAGAGAGATGACACGCAGCAAAGGGCAGAGGTCGGATTCGAACCCACGGTCGCTGCAATGAGGACAATAGCCTCCATACATGGGGCGTGTGAGCCAACTCTTGTAGGAGGCTTATATCTTTGTTGGACTTATAAAATATTTGAAACCAAGTATATTCATTAATTCTGCTGCTATCCAATGGATTGTTGGATGAAACAATGATCATGACATCTTTTGGTTCTGCATCTAGAAATTTCTGGAAGGGATTTTGCAGAATGTCAGATGCCAGTTTCTGTGTGGGCCTCATCCAAGCTGTCAAACAATAGGAATTAAATGTGTCATTTAAGTTGAATATAATGTAACAGAGTTGTTATCCGTTACCTGGCAGGTGGTCTGGAGTCTTGAATTTGTAGGTGATGTTGCGACATTGAAGAATCTCAAGGACCAGGTGCTCACCCTCTGTCTTCATCTCCTTCTTCAGAGCGATCTTTATCTCCCCCATTACCTGGGACTTACCTGAACACACAAAAACATGCACATTCAATCAGTATAACATAGTAGAATCCTGGTTTTTAGTTTATTACACAGCTACTACAAGTGGAAGCTTTCTCTGTCATTGCCTACAAGTATTTTTTTTAATGTATGACTGCCCTCTGCTGGACACCAAAGATAAAAAAGTAACAGCTAAATTTATCAAGCTCTTAGCTGCAAGCGATCATGAAGGGTGGTGGCCTGAGCATAGAGAACATGTGGGGTTCAGTGTCTAGAGATGGGAAGAGGAGGGGTTTTGAACCCTGTATTCAAGGGGACAACCCGCTCACCCCTATAAGTATCATCTCACTCCCATGATGACTCATTTCAAATTGGGCTGGCATGTTATCAAATTCATTTGTTCAATAAGGAGGGAAGAAGGAAGTAAGAAAAAGCCTGGTCGATGGTTTCCATAGCAACTGAATAAAGCAGAAAGTTTTGAAAGCTGTGTCAACAACAGTGTGACAGTTGGAGTGTGTGTGTGTGTGTGTGTGTGTGTGTCTGTGAATAGTGAGAGACTTAGAACAACACAAAAAGACTGAGGCAAAAGTGGGGAGATCATAAAGAGATGAAAGAAAAGACGTGGATAAGAATAAATGTGTTGATTTGTTCTATCGTGTGTGTCTAAACTTCAGTCTCACGTGTTATCATGAGTGTGTGAGGTAACATACTGAAGGTCCTTCTAGCCTTTTATGACCATCTTTGCACCCTGGATGAGTCATCAACCCTTGACTCATAACTTAGCGCATCATGAAGGCAGGAGAAAAAGTCAGCAAGGCTGATCAAAAATAACCTGTTAGTTTTTTTATAATGAGAATGACGAACATAAACATTTGAATTCCTGCAATATGAAAAGTCAATCAAACATGTAAGGGATAAACAGACAACATTTACATTTTAATATCTGGTGGGATAAAACACATAACTTTAAATGTACTGTTTGTCTAACCTTCCATTTCACCGTGTCCCATCGATGTTTTCATCGCATCTGTACCGTTTGGAATCTTTCCGCTAAAAAGAGGGGGAAGAAAATCCTGTTAATGATCAAAGTTCACATCCACGACACATCCAAACTGTTACACTGAGACTTTTAAAAACCTCAAAAAGCAAACAAGCTGACTCACAATCGGGGCACCTGGAAGATGGCACTGTCCACCTCGTTTGTCTCTCCTTCCTCGTCCAATAGGCTGTAAGCACTGCCGCTCAAGCCGCTGTCCAACGAGGCCGCAGTGACCGGGGCATCGCTGGATCTGTAGCTGGACCGTGCTGCGCAGAGACACAACCACACCCATCACGCCAAAGAGAACACTGCACCTCTGCCCGGTCCAAAAAAGATAAAAAACTCGAGCCAAGAAGCATTAGATAATATCTGCAGCTACTCTAATCCATCATAATCAACTTAGTCCGTAAAATAAATAATGTCGCAGTAAGAAGGAGAAGTTACTCAGAGCACAAAAGACAGAACAGAAGCACACTGGACCAAGAAGACGCATGTGGACACATTTGGAAACTTTCTCTTAGACAAAGACGGGACAAATATATCTGACAGACGGAGCTTTAACATGAGACAAACAAACAAAGACAGAGAAATATAACATTGAAATGTTTATGCAAGCTAAACAAGAGGCACAAAGACATCGTTAGTTATGACCTAGTCATTGAAATCACATCTTAATCTAGGCTTTAGTTTTGTTAAAACATTCATTTAGTTGAACATAGTCTGGACGGTTTTAAAAGATTACTTGTGAGTGCGACTTTTTACATGAATGTTTTTAAAAGCGGTTTATATGCGTTTTTCTTTTTTTTTTTTAAATTACACTTTTTAAACGTTTTACATTTCAACACTTTATTTCCAAACAGCTGACCAGGACGTGTGATTGAGCATGAATGATGTGAGATGCAATGTTGGTGCAGAGACAGAATCCATGTCCACACTCTTTTTTTTTTTTCTTTTCAGGCCTCCCAACACGCCGTCGGATCGCAAAAAGCTCACTGACACCAGTCCGATGAAGCTATGTGGGAGTCGTGACACAGCGGATGTGGCAGTGACACTCTGATACATTCATTTCCTGGTATTAGTGAGCTGTGTTGGCTGGGCCGTCAAAGAGAAGCGTGTGTTGCTGCATGAATCTCTGGTGAAGTGGGTGCAACTTTCTCTTTATTTGTTGATTAATTTAAGCTTGTAAGCTTGTCGCTCTCTCTCTTGCTCTCTCTTTGTTTCTCTTACTGCAGGTGTGCGTTAGTAGTATTACATCCTCTCTTTCTCTCACTCTCTCTCTCTCTCCTCGCTCCATCTGTGCTTCAGTCACACGACAGAGAGGAGATGCTCTCACCTCCGATGCTCTGCGGCCTCTCTTCAGACACGGCTTTCCTGAGGGTCATGTGTCTGCCGTCTGCTCTGCTCCCTTTGGCCGACGCGACCAACGATGATGGCAGGGCTGGCAGCCAATCAGACTGCGCTCTCTGAATGGTGAGCACGCCCACTACGCTGTGTCTCTGGTGCCTCAGAGAGAGGCGGCCTCTTTGGCCTGAGGGTGGGTGTGTTTGTTTGTTCAGGCGCAGGCGCAGGTTACATGTCAGAGGGGGTGGGTGGGGGGTGGTCAACGCCAGGGAACAAAGGTCATGGGAGTCGAAGTTTTTAAAACAGATGGAAGGAGGAGGGAGGAGGAGCGAGATGGAGATTCAGAGAGCGGTTTATTGTCACCATGGCAACCAGCTTGACTGTCAATCACATGCAGCCACAGAGTGCAGTGCACATTCGTGTGCAGCATCTCCTGAGGTGCATTGTGGGTCCAGTAGTTTTTTCAGACAACAAGGTGGGGGGGTTAGTGGACTGCATGCACAGCCATCTTAGTGGAGGAGCTTCAGAAAAGCTGGGAGTTGTTTGTCAACAAAAAAGGAAATTAAGATAAATACAAATTAAAATACCAAAAAAAGGTTCATGATATTTTAGGGAGGGGGTTGGGATTGCAACTTTCTTCTGTTTTGTGTGTGGATCAAACAATATAAAATATTGAAGTGCCAGCTGGAGGCAGAAAAGTGTCTTTTTTTTCCCAGGCGAACTTTTAGATCCAAGTTTTGTTTTTTTCAAGAGAGCTGAAAAAGTTAGGGTTCTTCAACAATGATTGGCTGATTGTGCGTATTTGTCAATTCAGAATAAGAACTGAAGACCTACCTTTCTTGTATACTGTCATATTTCTATTCATGATAAGTAAAGTAAATGTGTTTAAATTACAACTGAAAACAGCAAAACCTCACTTCAACTTAACTAAAAGTTAAAATATTGTTTTTCATTTCATATTAAAAGCATGTTTTTAAAGATGTTTAAGGTTTTTTAAGTAGTTTGAAGTGGCCTTTAAAAAGCAACCACTATGCCTCTTAGGGTTGATTGACGAAGAGTCAAAGTGAGGAGTGTCACAGACAGTGTGCTACAGTACAGGTGAGATGCTTTTCGCATATATTGACTACATACAGAAGAGAAGCGGTGAGAGGTTGACAAATAGTGAGCACATTGAGGGAGAGGATAAGGGGTTGAAACAGGCGAGGGGAACCGAGAATAGAAAAGGAAACCAAAGGAAGTGAAAGAAAAAAAAAGAAAAATCACTGAACAGAAGGTAGAACAGATGAGAGTGAGGAGGCCATGCTGCGTGGGCTTTATTTGCGTCTTGGTTTACTTGGCTGGAGGCGTTGCGGCGGCTGTGGCTGCGGCGGCTGCGGCTGCTGCGCCTGCTGCGGGGCATCGCCTGCCGCTAATGCAGTGCCTCGGCCGCTTCCCGGGCTGCCGTCCTGATGGTGATGTTGCCGTGCTGCGCTTTTGCTGGAGCGTGAAGCGCGAGAGTGTTGGCTGTGTCCGTGGCTTTGGCTCTGGCCCTCGGACGGGGAAGGCTTCGATGTGCCGGGACTACTGTGAGATTTCTCGATAGAGGGGACCTGCGTGTCTAAAACAACCAGATTCACCAAATTACTAAAAAAAAAGCTAATTTAGCTGACTTAAGGTTATGTTATCTTCTGTGGCTTATTCTCTCAGCCACACTGGTAAGTGCCTAATTAGATCTATCATATTAAATTTGATGGTTATTTTTCTAGAGTAGGGGAGAATTCAAAGCCTTCCACGGCCATGTTGCCCTTGTTGTTGGGGGGGGGAAGAAAGAGGGTAGCTAAGGCTAGGCCTCTGTGCTTGGTGACAACATGGCAACCAAGGAAACAGATCATGGAAAGCAAAAAAGCATGAAGCTTAAGCTGTGATTGCTGTGCAAAAAAATGGGCATAAGAAGGTGCTGGGGTTAGAGAAAAAGACAGTGGAGAGAGAGAACCGGGTGGACAGACAGAGAAAGAGGGAAGAAACCGGAGAGAGAAGCAGAGACAGGACGAGAAGAAGAAGAAGAAGAAGAAGAAGGAGAAGAAGAAGAAGAAGAAGAAGAAGAAGAAGGAGAAGGAGAAGGAGAAGAAGAAGAAGAGAAACAGAAAAGCCGAAGCAGCAGACAGTTGTTAGGGGATGAATGTCAAGCATGTGAGGAGTTATTTCATCTTGTCCTACCCTTGGCTGGATCAGGAAAGATCCCGTGGCTCCGGCTCTTGATGACAGATGATTTGGGGGAGTCCTGATTGTCGTTTGAGGAGGAGCCGGTGGTTTTAGGGGAGGAATGCTGCAAGGAGGGTTTAGAGGTGCTGTGTCTGCTCTGGCCTGAATGCGAGCGTCGGTGGTGGTCGCCCTCGCTCTGCTCCTTCAGCGGGAGCCACCGTGGGATATTGTCCAGCTGGGCTGTGTTGGACAGGTCTATAAGGACCTAAGGAGCAGACGCAGCAGTTTAATGTACATGCGAATTAAAAAAAACATAGGTTTACATTTTATAAATTTAAGTTCATAAGGAGGTTTACCTCTCCTAAGAAGTCATTGGAGGAGCACTTGTCGTAGTCCCACACGCTTACCTCCAGGGTCTTCTTCCTCAGCTGATACAAACACACAGGTAAAGAATTAAGGTACAGTGCGTTCCCTATTTTGTCTGAATGTTAAATATAAACCTTGAAGAAAAAACATATGATAAGGGTTTAAAATGGGAGCAGACAGCTTTAAAAAAAAAAAAAAAAACAGACAACAGAAGTCCAGAAATTTGCTATGATTCATTCGGGGCCAATGAATCTAAATTGGGATCTAAATTGATATAATTAAATCCCCATGGCCTATCCCATCTGCTCTGCTAAGACCAACGGATGGAAGCTGTTCAGCATGCCGGCAGAGAAGAGGCAATATTTTATATTCTGATTTATTGTACCACTCTCTACATGGCACAATGTGAGTTTTTTTTTCTTTTGCCTCAAATAAATGGATTAATTATAGTTATGTTCCTCATTTCAATGAGATTTGATCAAGATTTTAATGCACTATAACATATTTTGCTGATATATGACCTGGGTTATAGTGCATTGGGTTAAGTGCTGCTTCTGTTCATGCTTTTGACCACACAAAAAGGTACAAAAACGTGTGCACTGTAACACCACATACCTGCTCCAGGAGGATGTTTTTATAGATGACAGTCTGGTTCCACTCCGGGTTTAGACTCTTGCCCGCGTGTTTGGACCTCCTCTTGTTTTCGGCACTGCGGGGAACACATCACAACATAAACTTGGTTACTGGAACGCAGCAGCCCTCCTGATGAGTGGACCGTCACAATGCAATGAGCACAAGATTGTGGAGCAAAGAGGACACAATGAAGGAAAGAGGATGTGAGTGATGCACATTGTTTGGCGTTAACAATGTAGTGGCCTGCGTGCATGGGGCAACAGGAGTGCGATGTCAGGGTGTGCTGCGAAAAAAAGTCAATTTCTGTAGCCGTTGAGTCGTTTAGCTGAAAATTTGGATGTCTGAAAACAAGTGAAAATGTAAGCCAGTAATGACAGACAAGGCGATGCTGTTCTGATCAAAATCTTGTCTTTTAAACTGCCAATAACATAATCATCTTTAAGTTATTAAGTCACAAAGCGATGAAAAAAAAGCAAATTTGAAGTAGAAACTTTGCATAATGTAGGTTCTGGCTTATTATTTTGACACTTGTTTTGAAGGAATAACGTTAAATGTCATGGCAGACTCAACTGAATACATTAAATGCACTTTTTTTGCATTGGTATTAATGTAAGATTGTAGGACAAAAAGTAGTAAGAGTTAGTCTGGTAAGTAATGGAATGAGTAAGGACATCGGAGCAGAGAATGGGTTGTGTGTTTTTGAACGCGGCGGGGGAATCAAGGGGTACATTAAGATGTCAGGGCACGATATTGCACAGCACTGAGGGATTCTAATCACAAAACAGGGACAAACTAAAGGATGCCGGATTGAATGTTACGATTTCAAATAAGGATGATTTGGAAGGAAAAACAGACCATCTACCAAGGAAACACAACAGTTAGCTCGGGGAACGTTAACTGTCAGCACAGGGGACTTTATATGTGAAGTTAATGGAGGATGTTAATAGTCAGGGGTTCGACTTTTCTACAATGCAATGCAACAAGAACTACGCCTCAGGGTGAGTGGAACAACATGAGAATATGGGGACCAGAGAGAAGGGAGTTAGTGGAACCACCTTTACAATAAGCCAACAATCAGTTAAAAGAAAAACACAGCCTAGACGTTTTTTGTGACCGTCACCAAACTGACAACCAAATATCAACCAAAACAAAGTGCCAAAGTGGGCAAGTCACATACCTGGCGTTCTGGACAACCATGACCTGACTGAGGGGGTCCAGCATGCATTAAATATAAAGAACAACATACAGAAACAATGAGAGAGTCTGTGGACTGTGAGTGTGTATGTGGGGAGGGGGATTGAGTAAGTGTGTGTTTAGGGAAGGGGCAAGAGAAGTGGACTGTGGTTTGCTGCAGCGGTGGACTGAACGTGTGCTTCAGTGTCACATGAATAGCATGTATGTGTGCTGAGAGGGCTTTCAGGTGATGTAACGCATCCGTGGGCAACCGTAGTGGAGCTGTGAGTGACCAGGTTACATTTATAAATCCATTCAGTGGACACAGATTTATAAATGCTGGGATTCCAAACCTTTTCAGTGTATACACAAAATCTGATTTAAAAAATCATTTTTAGCGAGCATAGCATCGTAACTTTACTGAGCACCAGTGTTTCTTGTTGGCAGGTTATACTAAACAACCTAAACTACAAGTTGTAGTACTCTTACTGACATAACAAAACCCTGAATTTCAACTAATATTAAAAGCAATTTATGAATATTTGAACAAGCTGGAATTATACTACTGAGGAGCCGCTTAATTGCCATAAGACTGTATGAAACATAGACACTGAGTCTCAGTGACATCACCCGTTGATTTCTGAAGAGGTGTTACAAAGCCCAAAGTTTTACATTGGAAACGCCGACTCGTCCTTACTACAATCAATCTATTAACAGGAAAAGAGTTGGAGATGAGACGGGAGTTTAGCCCCCTGGCAAACAGCGAACAATGAGCTCACCTGGCCCCTAAACTTGCCTGATTATGCATTAACCCCTTCATATGATCCAAACGTCTGCTTCACTGCAGGGACTCCATGTGGTTGCCAGGAGATCTGTGATGCATCTGAAAGCCTCTGCATGGAGTGCACTCCTTGCTCTGATAGCTGTTAGCATGTGTCCTTAATACACATGTAGCATGTACACGAGTATTTTCACACATGGGAGTCTCTTTTTGCATTCAGGGGGCTACAGGGCCTGTGGGTGCCTCTCTTTCCAATCAGTCCAACCTCACCCTCTGTAAAAACCCGCCCTGCTGTTTGCATTTACATGTGTCAAACTGAAGGCCTGAGAGAGTGGCTGCTGGAAAGCCTTATATTATTGCTTTTATCTTAAACCATCCCTGGAAAAAACTCTCTCTCTCTCTCTCTCTCTCTCTTTCTCTCTCGGGAGGCCATACAGCGGTGAAGGGAGGGAGAGTTGATTACATTACAGGGCAATCACAGTGAGAAAGGAACCCTGGACTTACGAGGGAGTGTGGAATCGTATTGCGAGTAAATATGAGAGCTATTGATTCTGACTGCACTCACACGTACCGCAAAACACCCATCAACAGGGACAACAGCAACACACCAAGCACATGAGCAACTTCATATTATTTACATAATGCTGAAGTTATTCAGGAGCAATAATGAGCAGATGAGAGCACCTGGAGACATGTCATAAAACCTGATGTGCTGTGTAGATATAGGTGCTGAATTCCTACCAAAGAAAGGCCATGTGCTGCACATTGAAAGATGTTATGGCAAGCCAAAATCAATTGTAAATCACTTTCAAAATGAATAAAAAATATGGTTTGAGCTTAGAGGAGTGGCTGCCTTTGGAGCCAAGGTTTTATAGAGAACACTTAACAGGTTTATGCCTAAATCTTTTTCCCAGAATTTGCAGAAAATACAGACTGCTATGAAGCTGTACATATGAAACACTTTAATCTCTCTAAATTAACACATTTTGATTTATTTAAAAAAAAAAAAAACTGATCCTGTACTGGTTCTGAATCCGAGCACGTTGTGCTCCCAGTTTGCACACCCTTTAAACTCACCCTCTCCCAGGTAGGAGATACACCTTAACAAACGGGTCAGAGTAGCCGTTGTTGTCCCGCGGGGCAAGGTTTCTGGCCTGCAGGACGTGAACTATCAAGTTGCCAAGCTGCTTGTCGTAGTGGATTTGAAGCTGCAGAAAAAAACACAATTAATTAGAATGGTTCTGCATTCAAACAAAAACATTTTGCAAAATGTAACAGCTTTCTGAGGTAAAGTTACAGGATTCACTTTATATTTTCTTTCATTTATTCAATTTCATATTTTTAAAATTCTAAAGGAAAAAGAGTTAGCCCATTTTATACTCCCACATCTAAAATATGAACATTTAAACCTTACAGAGGTCATTCTTTGGAATCACAGACCTGTATCTCTCCAGAGATGGGGTGGGACGGGGTCTTGGTTCCCTCTGCAGTCTGTAGGAGATAAAAGCAACACGCTTACTGCCAGAACAAATCTGTGGGTGGATACCGGTGGGTGTTCATGCTGTACAGTATGAGCTGTACTGAGCCACGCTTTATATAGAGCTCGGGGCTAAAATAAAATATAAACTCTCGGAAATGATGCATCAGTGCTTCTGTTTGGACATGAAGCTTAGAGAATTCAAAGTCGTGAATCGATTTAAAACATTGGGATGAAATGAAAAATGCTCCTCAAATTTGAAGTGCAGAAATATAAACAGAAGTATAAACTATAGATTTGTTTGAAGAGACTTCTTTTCAAGGCTCTCTTATTCCACTATCTTTGTCTTATTTTCATCCCCCTTTCAACTTCTTATTTGGCCAATTCACTTCTGTTCATGTTACCATCATTCATGTCATAAGCTCCACCCTGAAGAGCCAGAAGTAGTGAAGCAGATATTAACTTTGGCAGTGAAATCTGTATCGAGGGCCTTATTTCTTTCTTAATTATAAAACATATATTTAGAATGGAATGTTCTGGATCTTTTACGATAGGGCTCAGATTGATATTGCAATTTTGCTGCGGGATCAACAGCATCAATTCATGATTCTTGGACAGTGACTTCAAAGCTAAACCTTAAAATAAATTTTAAAAATAGAATGGCTCTCGACTTGCCTTACTGCTGTGTCGTTTTTTGCTGACGGAGGGCGATCCCGGCTGACCAGGGCTGGAGGTGGCTGAGGTGGTGGTGGGCAGGCCAGAGGAGGAGGTGGACGAGGGAGCCTGCTGCTGGGACACTTTCTGCAGCTCAGCCGCCAGCTGCTTGGGGTCGACACCTGGAGACCTGGGAGGTCTGTCACCTTCAGAACAGCAGAAGAGTCACAGCATGGTCACTGTTGGTTTTATATACTCCACTTAAAGCTGTTGTAAGTGTCTAACTGTTGGGTTAGTTTTGAGAATCTTTCTCTATTACTCTCTGTGTTCAGCTTTGTTCCGTTGTTGTTGGTTGTAGGTTTATTTCTATATTTCTGTTAAAAAGAGGAGCATAATGACACAAAAGCATCCACACATGAAGATGCACAAACACATACAGAGAAAGAGGAGAGAGAAGATTGCATTTTTGTGGGTCTTCTATCAAGACTCTAAGGGGTGGCACTTCTTTGGAGAACAATCGAATGTTCTCAGTGTAATTCAGACAGAAAGAGAAAATAGGCCAACAGTAATGCACGGGCAGAACGAGAGAGAAAAGAGAATTATAGATGAAAGGGAAGAAAGACTAAAAAGTTACAAGAGACAGGAATTAATTTGGAAACTGTGAAGGAAGAGACGATGGTGATGGGAGAAAAATGTTCGGGTTTGAAGACATAAAAAATACTGCAGCTCACTTTTGCCGTGATCCTGGAAATCCAGATGCTCTGTGCCCCCAGACTCAGAAAGCATGTTGAGATCACTGCAATACAGGAAGATATTGTTTTATGTTTTCTGAAATTCAAACTTAATGAGACGGAAGACAAAAATAAGCAAGAATGAAAAAAAAAAACAATTTCAAGTAAAGAAATAAATAAAGAAAGAACCAATACGTTTGTGCTAAATGACTCATGCAGGAGCAGGAAGCTACAAATCAGGAATCATCTTTAAAAATTACCTTTAGGAGGAAAAGTTCTACTTTAAAGATCACATATTATTCAAAAAACACTTCACAATGGTTATCGAACACAATGTGTCCCTAGTCTGTCAAAAAACCCCAAATTACGAAAAAAATCAATCCTCTCCGTCTTTTGCCTGCTTTACTTTTCAGAAAATGTGTGCTCACACAGGCTGTTGGGAGACTTCCCCTTAGTGACATCACAAAGGGCAGTAATTTCTCCCCCAGGTGGATGTTTGTTCTGCCCTTCTCGACCTTTCAACTGTAAACAATATGGCATGGAGAAAGCCCAAGCACCTTCCAGAAAGGGGCGTGGTCAAAGACAACTCATTTGCATTGAAAGCTACAGACACAGAAACAGCCTGTTCTGAGCAGGCCTGAAATAGAGGGGCTTATAGGCATGATCAAATACAGGATCAGAGAGGATTTTTGGCAAGAAACTTCACAGTCATGTTTTGGGTGAGCTCTGAGACTTATTGAAACTTGTTGAAAAGGAGTATGATATGTGACCTTTAAAGGTTTATCTGTGATTCAGTGAAATATTTTGTTTTTCAAAGTCATGTAAATTAAAATATGGGGACATATGGAATATGAAGAGACAGAAAATAAAAAAGTATATTATATATATAGAAACTAACAAAGGCTATACTCACAGTCGGACACACACTTCTGCCTCATTACATAGCTGTCCCACGAGTCCTTGTACTTCTTCGTAAGTTTTACCCGTCAGAAGAATACCATTCCACTCCAGGACTTGCATTCCTGTACAAAAAATTACAAATGTAGGTTGTAGGCAAGAACAAGAATGTTAAAAAAACAACAACAAATCGTAGTGCATTCCCTCTTGATTCATTTTTTTCAAAACTAGAGTTCGGACCTCTCACATCAAACCAAAACCAAATCAAAGTTTTGAAGGTATGAGCTCTGATTTAAAGGATTAAAGGGAATTCATTATGACCCGAACAAGGGACAGGTTCAGGGTCTAACAGCCATCTTTTGTTCTGAGAGAAAACAAGCTTTGATTCTTGCGCTCAAAGTGAATCAGACAGGGAGCCAAAACTGGAGAGATAAATGTTTGTGACAGGCCAAACAACAGCTGTGTGACAAAGCTGATCGTGCTGATAGTGGGCAGGGAAATAAACTTGCACATTTAATTATTTTATTTTAGCTACAAGTTTTTCTAGGGTGATTTAAATAGGGTTAATTATTGAAAGGATTTGAAATAATAAAAAACCCAATGAGAAATATCTGAAAAAGGGGCCTTTATCTCCAAGCAATGGGGAAGAAAATACAAGTCCACACAACACAGCAAACCCACAGCATCCTCTAAAACACACCCTGCACTTTGGCAGGACTTACAACGTTTGAAACAGCTCATCAGGAGGGTCCTTTGTTTGCGACGATGTTCTCGAGCTGCATGTGTGAGCAACAGGGAAACTAATTAAGTTACCCCCTGATATTAATCATCACATTTCTCACACTGCAAGACTTGAGAGTTAGTTGCATTTCGGACACATTCAAAGACACTTCCATCTCAGTGAGCAACCAACACACAGTTTTCTGTCGATCTGTGACGCTAAGCCTGTTGAATCTGACAACATTTCCACGTATTCGCACCACAGAGGCTGAGACGGCATGTTCCCACTGAGAACACCGCAGCCGTTCTGCTCAGTGTCAATGATAATGGGCATTATCATGGGTCATGCTGTCTGCCTAACCAACAACAGCACAGATGCATTTTGACTCTCTGACCGAAGCAATCATCAACAGCTTCGGCCGACACCACAGAATTCTCCTCTGTGCAAGAAAGTAGCTGCACAGAAATGTCTGAGGCAGAGTAAGATTATTGAAATGGGATCCAGAGAAGTAGTAAAAAAAACTGGACTGACCCAAAATTGTCCCCCTGTATATTCCTTTTAAGGGTTTCTGAATTATCTTAAAATATTTGTTTTGAATCTCTAAAACAAAGTAGCAATTTGGCTACAGTATATGGCAATGACCAGTGGGCGTGGATTGCTGCAAGATGTGCTACCTGTATGAGACACAAAGTACAAAACTATTGCAATTTCTGTCTGCCAAAATTCCATATTTGATGTATTTGCTGTTAACTTTTAGCTCAAAGCACCACTGTGCACAGGGTTGCTAGCATGGTTGTGAACCCATAGTGTTGTTTTTACAAACGCTACATTATTCTTGTTGCAATATTAATGAATTTATTATTCCGTCAAGTCATCTTTTTAATCTGTTAGATCTTTTTTTTTTTGGTAAAGAAAATGTGATTATTCATCTGAAAAACATCTCTGTAAGTCACCAGGAGATTTATTTTGTTCACAATTGTGGACACTTTCTGAATGGCTTCATCAAGCAGTGGGAGGAGAAAATCACAGAATTGGCAGCAATGTCAAAGGATAAAAAAGGAAAATAGAAAGGAGACACAAACTAGAACAGAAAGTACTCAAAGAAATGCCCACGCTCACCCTACACACATCCACAAGGCGCAGACAGATGGATAGCACACTACACAGGTCCAAACTAGACAGCATTTCTTCCCTTCCCATTTCACTATCCATACATCACCAGAGTGGCAGCCTCAAAGGAGCTCAGGCCACAGCTTTACCAATTGCCCAACACCCTCAAAGTAGCTCAACACGGAGATTAAACAGGGACTAGGAGCAGGCAGATGGACTGGGAGGGTGAGAAGGTTAACAGTTCACAGACTAGCCCATGTGAAATCAATAACCTCGTGAAATATGTTCCTCTTAATATACCACACAGCAATTTGTCCTGAGGAGGTGTCAGTGAATGGTGTGTAAGAGCAAAATCACAGGTCATATATCTGTGGGCTGGTGAACAATGGTAACTAGGCGTTGTGAAAGAACTGGCAGTTTCAACCTTTTGTATCCATAATATACATTGTGACACCTCCACCTAAACCTTCTGACACAAACAGTATTCTTCAGGATGTCAATTTGTTTTTTCATACTCACAAACCTTGTCAACAACATTATTCTCACAAAACGAGGGTTAACGATGAGTTTACCTTCAAGAATCTTTCCAGTTTGTTCTGCAGCTCCACCCGGCAGGACTTTGGCAACATATGCTCCGATGTCTCCATTGCTACCAGGGACTTCTTTCCCTCCAACTACACGGATACCCAGACCATTTCCTGTTCAGGACCACAAATACAGACCAGTGAGTGGTTAATCTCTAGTCTCATACTGTTAATCTGTTCTTTTGCAATGTTAACTAACAGAGGTATAATCAAAAACAAAAAGGGAGAATGTATGGAAGGGAAAATTCAGTTATATGTTGGAAACAGACTAAAGACATGAAATCTACTTTACTTCAAAATTATTTTGGCATTGAATTCATTTCAGGGCAGCAGGACAGTCAAGCTGTCAAAATGAGACGGACCAGTACAAAGCTAAAGAACGAGAGATAAATGCTAACAGTGGTAGCTAAAATCTAAAATGTTTTACTGAAGATATGACATTAAATTTAACCTATTATTTAGAAAAAAAATCGCTTTTGGAACCAGCATGTTGGTTATTTTTTATTTTGTATTATTTACATCTCAATGGGGTCATAGATAAATCCATTTATAATGGAAAAATACCTCTTGCTTAAGGTAACTAATGTAGCCGAGTAGCCATATTGTCATCTCAACTTTTCACTGTTGATACTTGGTGATTTTAAGCTACTTAAATACTAACTTTCAGAGGTAGGCTACGTTTCCCACTGATTTCAGTACAGTATTAAAATACAGAAAGACAATTGTAATTAGCACATATCAAATTCCTCTAGCTCCTCTAAGAAGTGTGTTCAAAGACATTTAATGAATGTTATATGGCATCTAGGTAGGAACTTTGCCTGAACCATCATAAAGAAAAGGGCAACAAAACTCTAACGATTTTGTTGTCAGTTCAATTGGTTCTTTAGCCACAGCTGTCTCTGTTTTAGAGCTTTGACATTATCAATGCTAACCCTATAGCCAATAGTTCACTTAACACACATTAATCTATTTTTTAGCTCCATAGGTCACACATAAAAGAGACCTTTATCTAAAAAAAAAAAACCTGAACCCCTAATTCTAAAGTCTAAATCTCGTAACAAGGGTTCAAAATTGAGAATAAAATAACTAAAGCCTAAAGCATTCGGTTCAGCACTGGGTCCTCATAAACATGATGCTTCCTTTGTGGGCTGTTTGTTAATTACGTAAGATAATCCTGAGTGTGAGGGATACGCCATTTCGAGCATGGTTATGAGTGATGAGTGTGGAGAAGAGCCAAATCAAAAGGGGAGCCAGGAAATGAAATGTCTGCCTGCTTTGAGCCTGGAGGAATGGTGTGATGGAACGTAATGGCACAGGAAGTGACTTCTAAGTTTCTTGAGATCTGGCATGAATATAAAGTAAATAACATGCATGAAGCAGACACGCCATGCTTTGTAAACCCAATGACACATTCTGATTCATATATGTGTGTACGTTTTTACTTAGTTTGTCTTTTAAAATAATTCTAAATCTATTTTAAGATGCATCACGTTCCATAAAAGGAAAACATGCTGAGTGCATGTCTATGAAAGTCAATGCTGTAAACAGTGCATATTAGATGCAGTCAGTAAGCAATGGGGTCATTAAAATCTAATGCATGCCTCACAGTCAATAAGACATTAGCTTCTAATACGTGCCTTAAAGTATATCATTCCCTCTCCCAAAGCATGCTGCTGCTGTGGTGGTTATTGAACGGAAAAACTGTAGTAAACTGTGGTACTTTACCTGAGACACTGCGGTCTTTGAGGTCCCTCTGCAGTTTGACCCTGAGGTGAGGGAAGGGGTAATATGGGCCTTTTCCCTGTGGCCCATGCACAATGGTGAGATGTCATGTATGTTCAAGGTAAATGGGAAAACTGTTCAGTATGGGTTCTTTGCGACAAGGACATCTGTATATTGCTTTAACACATGAGCATACATACCAAATAAATGTCCCAAGTGATTGAGAGTGGGTGCATGCATTGCATTACTTAATGGTGCATGTGCGTACATTACAGGTGTCTGTCTTAAAGTACGTATGTGTGTGTTTTTCCTCATGTTTCACCTGTCTCTTCTCGTGTCCGTTCTCTGACCGTCCATCTCTGGGTTTGTCAAACCAATCTGTTTCCTCTCGTCGTAGGTGGTAAGCTTCAAGTATACAACAGGCACTATTTCAGAACCAATACCAAACCTGGACTTTTTATCTTACTATAAAGCAGTGTTGTTAGCTCACATGTTGCATGCCAATAAAGAAAGATTATATTCAAGAGAAGTCTATGTACATTTTGATTGGTAGTTAACATGAGAAATGGAAATGCCAGAAAAAGTATTCATTCTTATACTTGGTTGTGAGAATCAGAAAGGATGCAGAGCAACACAAAATATTCTTTACAGGTATTGTAAAATAAGTATTAACACAATATGTATAGTAGCAGGATATAAGCCAATAGTGCCAGAATTTTTATGAATGTAAATGTTGGGTATATGCATTTTGAATTAGTAAATAAGTCAAATTATAGGGAGATTTTAACATTTTCTTATAGAACAAGAATTCAATTAAAACATGTCTTTGCATTAGACATGTTCAAAATAAAATTTCAAGGAATTTATAATCTACTATTTATGATAATCTTAAACCTCCCCAACATTTCGCCTTCATTTTATGGTGAGGGTTATTCCACAAGTGGTGCAGGTTAATATGTTAATATGTTATATGTAAAACTGAACTAATACTCTACCATTGGTTGCATCGTCTCTGTTCAAAGCCATCATGGAATCACTTAGGGCTGGAATCAAGGCAAATGGTTTTACATTGCAAAATGGTTGGTTCCATATTAAGTTATTAACACGTATTTATGTGGGGATCTTCACAAGTTTGAACCAGAAAGATAAACAATAATACCTCTCATTAAAGTCTGAACCTGCTAAAACTGTCACTTTAAAATCCCTTTTCATGAAACGCTGTCTTCTGTCAGTGGATAAAATGAAGTGTTCCATTAAACACATACAGTACTGTGATTATATACTTTGGCCATGACAGAAAAAAAACATGCATTCACCATATTTGCTTGTAAGTTGAATAAATGGTAAATAGCTTTTACTGAGCAAAACAAATTTTCACATTTTCAGGAATATTCTTGCATTATCCTTTTAAAGACGGACCTTGCTAATAGAGTGTGTTCATTGTGTTTGAAGTGGGGAAGAAATAGCTTTAGGAAATTCAGCAAAAAGACACCGTGTTGAAGGATAAAGAGGCAGACATCTATTCCATGCAACATCAAGTCACCAAGTCACGGATACATCACAATATATACATGCAAGTATTCATGACAAGACATGCAAGTTGAAGTTTTATATTTATTATACACAAATGACTGTTGTAACCAAATATCATGCATTTTTTTAATACAGTCAATGTTTCCTACATGACAACAGTATCCTGTTTTAAATGTGTTTCTTATACTTTATATCATGATTTAACACTTTCCCATTAGTTGGTGTCATAACAATCATTGTTTACATTACACATCAACAATTTGTAGAACCCAAATGTAAAATGATTAATAATATAACAATACTATGCATCTCAAAAGTATTGTCATACTATCATTTTGAAGAGTCATTTGAAGAGTCAGCTGAAGTACTCCTTCAGCTGATATGTATTTCTCGACCAATTTTATGAATTTTGCAAGTGGATGAGGCACTTTTGGAGTTTAATAATAATAGTTAACATTGTTTTTTCTAAATGTGACCTAAGTTGTAACAAACAGGATCTGAAAGACTATAAACTTTAATAACTATGCTCTAAATAAAATGCAGACTGCCACAAAAAAGAAATTGGTATTTGTGTAGGGAACCCTCCCACACACTATAGCTGTAACAGGACTAAGACAGTATGGTGTCATGCAGGGAGCTAATAAAAGAAAATGTTACACAATATCTGGGATGCAGACAGACACAGAGTGCATGCATAAAGATACATCGAAGCACACTTTGTAAGCAAGGACCAAAATGTCCAAAGGTATGCCTACACACTAAATTTCAATTGATTGTACTGTCACCAAGAAACAAAATTAGGTACATTCATGAAAGTTGAAGTTAAATTAAAGAACGACATGCCAACAGATACATGCAGACTTTCAACAAAGACACAATAGCAAAGTATATTAGACAGTAGTACTAAATCCAGGCAAGAAAACCCATAACCAGACACTCTTAAGGATAAAACATTAAATAGAAAAGGAGAGGCAATGTGCCAAGCCTGTTTTTTACCTTCACTGTCTGACATGGTGCCTTGAAGGTCATCCATCAGCACATAACCCCTACCCCTGGTTGGTTCTTCCCTGATATGTTGCTGTTGCTGGGAGTCCTGCAAGGACAAGCAAGAACCAAACTGGTCCCTTGAATCAGCCGAGATTGGCGGCAGAGGACCAGCTGATGCACGGGCCATGCCCATAGGTTGCCCAACAGGGCTCAATGGACTCTCTTCTTCTGAGTTCTGGGCCACTATTGGTATTCTGCCACGACCACTTTGAACAATGGGAAGGCTGGTGGGTTTGGTTCGACCAGAGGGGGTTTGATAGCTTGGACCGTCTCCAGATGCTTCACCATCCCCTTTAAGCCTAAGCGAAGAGCTGGAAGGGTCTCTCTTGATAGACAAGTCCAGGCCGTAGCAAGATGTGGGCCTGGATGAGGGTCTTGAGCGACTACCACTAGGATAAGCAGAGTCTAAACCTAAACTCTGGCCAATATTTAGTGACCCAGCTAAATTGGCACCCAAGGTGGACCCCAGATATTTTTGCTGCTCTGCAATATTCTTACGGAGGCCAAAGGTAATTTCATCCTGCATGAGCCGACTGGATCGTGGGGATGCACTTGTGGAACCAATGTAGCTTGTATAGTCTGTCTCCAGACCTCTGTTGTCTGTAGTAGAATACTTTGAGGAGATCTTAGGATCAACTAATGGAGCCTTGTGTTTTTGGTACAACATTGAGGCTGGGAGGTTTTTAGCTGCCTGCTTCTCTAAAGTAAGTCGACTGATGCTGTACTTGTCTGTCTTTGGATATTGTCTTTGGGAGTAACTAGAAATGCCAGAGCTAGGGGTATAATAATGCTGGGAGAGACCTGCCAGTTGTTCTAAGTTTTCCGTCCCACCTGTACTTCTCCTAAACTCTTGCTTTAGCTGCTGCTTCAGTAGTTTCAATTCATAGGGCTCTTCCATTGGATCCTCTTCATCAGGGGTCTTTCCATAAGGATGGAGTCTTGAGGTTGATCCCAGATAGTCAGTAGACCCTAAATCTGCTGCACTCCGGCGCAGCAGCTTCTCTGCCTTTGCCAGCTCCCTCTCAGCCAGACTATAAGATGATGACATACCTGTAGAGCCCTTAGCCAGCTCTGCAGCATCTTCCAGTAACATGTAGCTCCGAGGTGTATGATGATCTACATCTGGGTAATAGGAATCAGAAACAGCTGACATAGGGCTACGTGCCATACTTCCAACGTCCAAGGCTCTGAGATCAAGGTGGTTACCATATTTGTCATACTTAACTCCCAGAAAAGCTGATGATGTGGGGTCAGGCTGGCGGCTAATGACTTCATATTTGGTTGCATCAAGTTCTGAGAGGAGGGCTGCCTGCCTGGCAGCCTTCTGCTGCAACAGGAGCATCTGGTGGTAACTCTGTTGCTGGGAGGTAGTGAGCGAGGGGACAGATGAGTAGAGAGAATGAGATTGGTAGGATTGGGGAGTCTGGTAGAGAGACTGCTGGTATTGGCTTTGAGGGTATTGGTATTGGGAGTATTTTCCATACTCATGCTTGGTTTGAGGTGGAACAAAGTCATCCAATTCTGACTGAGGAGCTGTCCTGGGACGTTCAAGACCATGACCTTCAATGTCCTCATCTTCACCATCTCCAAGCCCACCTCTAGTCTCTCGAATGTTGCTAACCTCACTGTCTGACATGTAGTCTCTGTCCTCAGCAACACTCTGTAAGTAGGCCCTTTCCCTCTTCTCTCGCTCTATCAGTAGTGCATCTTTTCTACGATTTATACCCATCTCCAAGTACCTAAGTTTGGCATCAATCTCTTTCTCCTCCTCATCTAGCTCTGCTTGTCTTTTACGGAGCTTAGAAGACTCACGCTCCACCAGATTTAGCTCGCGGTCAATGTCCTGTAGGATCTTGGCACGGGCCATGTTAGAATTACGGCACATTCTTCGGCGGGCGGAGCCAGTGGTGTATGCCGTTTGGCCACTGGTTGTTGACTCATCCTCTGATGGTGGATTGGGTAAAGTCCTCTTTACCTTCTTTTGAGTTCCTGTTGGAGTGCTACCTGAGCCTTTGCCCTGTGGGAAAAATAATTGAAACCCATTAAGATTGTATAATTTTCAAACAGTTTTCTTGAACCCCAAAATATGAGTCAGCTGGTTATTTAGTCTTGAACATTTGAGAGAAATGATTTCCCCTGTACGATACTAATCTAATAGATAAGTAATAGATAAGACAGTTGCTAAACTTTGTATGATTCAGTTAAAATGTCAAATTATAAAGGGCATGAATTATAATATTTCTCTTGGGTCATAAGTAGAATTATATGCACCTAGTTTACATGAGTAAGTAAACCTGACACAAGTAACTAAACTGCACACGCTTATGTGATTTTTTAAACCGATGTAATGTATTCACATTGCGCCTTTTTGGATCTCGGACAGTTCATTATATTTTGAAAGATCAGCTTATTATCTATCCTTCAATGCATTTATGGAATTCTCAGAAGCTAGTTGCCTGGGCAGATAACTGATTCGATACCCCATTAGGGCCAGGAGCCACACAGGATGCCTGTATAGTCTTTTTTTTCTCATTCCTCTTTAATTATACGTTTCCTTTTAAGGTCAACAGACCAAATTGAAGATATAGATTTGCAAATTACTCAGTTTCATATTCCATAGAACAATATTATGGCAAAAATTAATATTGTAATTATTCAAGTTAAATGCAACAGAATTGAACTGTTACACATAGTATGCCTTGTCATGAACATTCAAATCTGCAATTCTAAAACCAGCTCTGTTTTGTTCAAATAGCAGAGTTATCCCCAGTGCATCAAATGCATGTTATAAACTATTAAATTAAAGCTTCCTGACACATGCAAGAAATGGTAAAACCAATTAATGAGTCCACATGTCATTGTGGCTGCATGAGTATAACATGACATGCACTTGTTTGCTGGTGTTCCTTGGGCAAAAACTATGTAAATAACACAACTTCTTGGCCTTTGTTGGTCAGTGTCTGTTTTCTCTCCTATGTTTATTTAAATGATAGTAATAAAATGGGAACTTACATCACCATATTGGGTGCCAGATGTTGCCCTTTCTTCCCCTGTTGGACTCATGGGCTTTGGATCCGACATGGATCTTTGCATTGCTTTTGGTCCTCTGGGGCTTGATGGAGAGGCATGAGATTGATCCATACTTCCTCTTAGCTTTTGTGGACTTGTATCTCCCAGGGATTTATCATATGAAACAAACTCCATGGATTTGCTAGGGGATATACAGGGGGATATGGGGGAATAAAGCACTTTGGGAGACTTAGGAGGGGCTTGTAGTGTGGAGGAATCAACTTTAAGGTTAGGAGACTGGCCTATTTCTAGAGGGTTAGGTCGTTTCTTTGGTGAAGTTCTTTCAGAGTCAGATAGCTCCATCCTGGAGTCCATTATAATGTTCCCCTCTGAATCTGTTTGTATAGAAATTTCAGTGCGGGCTTGAAGTGACATATCTGACTGCCCTCCCCTATCACCCCTTGCAGTGCGTGGCCGGTTTTGCCGGCTCCTGGTCTGAGCCTCCCATTCATCTTGATCCTCATCATCCGTCTGCACACAACTGTCAACACTCTTTTTGGCACTACGCTTTTTTCTACCAGCTGTGTAAGCTTTGCTGACTGCTTCATCCTCTTCATCTGTCTGGCATCCACTATCTGTGATCTTTCTGGATAACACTGTGCCATCAGGTCCTAATACAATAGCCTCCTGCACACCATGCCCTATAGCGTCACCACCTGGGAACATCTGACGAAGCTTTTGCTCTTCTAGTTGCAGGCGAAGTTGCTCTTGGAGTCTCTGAATCTGCTCTAGCTGCTGCTGTTGCTGAGCATAGGTTTCTTTCTGCATCATAAGGTGAGCCTGTCTTTCCTCTTCTTGTTGGGTCAGAATCTGCTGCTTCATGACCTGCAGTTCCTCGAGTTCCTTCTGTACTAAGAGCTGTTCTTGCTCACGGAAACGTTGAATTTCCTGACGCTCCCATTCCAATTCCTCAGCAAGCCGCTGTTGTTTGAGTTTCTCCATCTCTAGCCTCTCACGCTCTACCATATACTGGCCATCCCCTGGAACCATGGGAGAGGACAGAGCCTCCAGTGAAGCAGCTATAGCCTCTAGGGATGCATCAGTGTAAGTGTCAAGGGATAAAGATGTTCCTGCTGTGTTGATAAGATGAGCAGGAGTAGTACCCCCTCTAGATATCTCCAGATTGAGTGGGACATCTCTAAACTCCTCAGTTTCAGTAGTAGAGATAGTGGACAAGAAACTGTGGGACCGTGTAAGTGGCAAGTTCTGGATATTTGACAAAGATGGCATGGTGTCGCTGGTATGCATTCCTGACAGTGTGTTGTATGATGTACTAAAGATGGATCCAGGTTGGGTGGTAATGGCATACGTAGAAGGTATTGGTGCTGCTACAGAGGAATAGACTACCCCATTTGATGATCTCAATACACTGCTCGTACCAAAGAGTGTACCCACAGTACTTGTGACTCTGGCTTGGGAATAGGGTGGGATTGTCATTCCAGCGTAATTCCCTTTCTTGGAGTAGTCAACAGCTTCACCTGTCAAAAGTCAAAAATATCAGTTGAGTCCAAGTAATTCAGACTTTAAGTTGAAGAAGCCATGCCTTATCCAAATTATGAAAAAGGTGGAAAAGGGAAAAAATTCGAAAATGTTGAAAAGTGCAACAATCATAAACAAGTTATACAGTAACAGCATGCAGGCACATGCAAAAATACTGTGACGAGAAAACAATTTGTTTTTGTGATTTGTCCATGCAAAAAAAAAAGAAGCCGAAACCAACCAAAAAAAAAAACACAACACGTTAGCCATGAATGAGTGGAGGCATTTCAAAGTGACATTTAAGTGAAAGGTCTGCAATGTCACTGCACTGACCTGCATCAGAAATCTTTGCAGAGGTAAGATCTACTGCACCTTCTGTGGTGCCACTGAAATTGTAGCTGTTCTTGCTCTTGTAAAAGAACAGGCCAGCTTCTGCTAGGTTAGTGTCTGACATTGATGGTTTAATTCCACTAAAACCCCTCATGCCATATGGTGATCGATCATACTGATAATGATCATCGCGATATCCAAAACGATCTTCCGGCAGGGGTGTGGTTGGTTGTTGAGTAGTGCAGCTTCCTGCAAATGGCAGCTTGTACACAACATCACAGCATACAGTTCTCTTTCCTGCAGTTAGATCCACTGGTTTGCCATCATAATCTGTGATAACTGCTGTGGCCACTTCTGAAGAAGCAGCATCCACTGATACAACAGTGTTGAATGGTTTTGTTGTGCTAAGGTCAACAGCTCCTGCCACTGTAGCTGTACCTGTATTTAATCCATTGGCAACACAACTTGAAATGGAGGTGGGTGCAATAGTCACAGGTGTGACCTGGAAAGTCCCTCCACCTGATCCAACTGAGAGGTTAATAGGGATCTCTGTACCAGTATGAGATAAGGACTGAAAATCAATTGGCCGATAGATAATTTGAGAAACAGGCTCAAAAGCTTTGTTTTTTGTCAGCTGCAGGGGCACTGAAGATATTTGAGAGGCGTCTACATTGTCACATTGCTGAATTGTGGCGGAACAGGTCACAATTGTAATGCTATCAGTCACTATAGAGACAGTGGATGATTCTGTACTGAGGTTGACCACAGATGACTGCACTGCACTGTTCTGACGACTGACATCAGCAGCCAAGGACTGACGTCTTGAGTCTGCGCCAGCAGACAGATCAACACCTTTCCTATCTGACTCAGGGTCCGCCTTCATAGTCCTCAAATCTACCACCTCAGAAGGTTGGACGGTCTGCCCAATCTGTGCTGGCAATTGGGGCTTAGGTTTCTCCATTGAGATTGGGACACCAGTTGCCCTTGGAGCTGGTACTGGTGGTGTTGCCCTTTCATGGACAACAGAGACAGTGGTCCTTTGAACTTCTGTGGTTACCACTTGAGAGATAAGGTTAGGCATAACCACAGGTGGCTGTGCTGAGGCAGATATAGCTTCAATTATGTGACAAGAACTGGATACGTGTTTTTCTGGACCACAAATCTCTTGACTTTCAATGGATTCTGTGACACGTGTGTATGCCAGAGGCACCCTGGTTGTTTGAGGAGGAGTTGGCTGTGGATGCTGCTGTGGATATGATTGAGTTTGAGGCTGTTGTTGGTGATAGCTTTGGGGCTGAGCATGGTGTGCAGGAGACGCTGGTCCGGGGCTGGAAGGAGCTTGAGTTGAGATGGTGTCTACTGGAGAGCTGGGCTGAGATGGCAGTGTGATGACCACATATGTGTCACGAAGATTTCTGGAAAATCTTGGAGAAGAAGGAGACTTTGGAGAGGGTTGAAACTGCTTGGTCTCAGAAGAAGGGCTCAAATTTAGGGCTATGTCGGAAGAGCCAGTGGGAAGTGCAGTGGGCCTTGTAGGATGCGAGACATGGGCTGGCGATGAAGGCTGTGAGCCAGGCTTTGGAGCAATTGGTGGTTTGACACCTTGTCCTGGTCTGTGGCTGTCCCCAATTCCAGCAGGAACAGTAGGCTTTGGGGGAACAGGTGGGGGAACGTGAGGTTTGTACATTGGTGAAACTACTTGTCTTGTTGTTGGTCCTTGGGCTGCAGTCATAGTCACTGTCTCTGGCCGGACTGAAGTTGCTGAAGCCTGTGGTGGAAGTGGGACTGGGGGTTTCCTTGGAAAAACAGTGGGCTTTGGTGGGGTTGGAGGAGGCAGTGGGGGTTCTTCAGATTTTTCCTGAGAATTAGCCCTACGCAGGACACTTGGCTTGGGGGGCACAGGTGGCGCAGTTGACACTACACTGGGAATACTGGGTGTGTACTGGGGAACTGTTGGTAAGGGTGATACATTGGCAATCACATGGGCTCTGGTCCTTGGAAGTTCACCAGATAAGTCTACAATTTCAGCCTGGGATGCTTCAATTATGGTATTAGGTGGTTGATCTGATGTGTTTGGCAGAGGAGACTCAGAAATTACTGTCACCGGCTCAGTTTCTGAAGCCATCGTGATGTCTGATAATTCAGTTCTCTCCTCTTTTCTAACAATACTCTCATCATCAGAAGACAACTCTCCTGAGGAGCACTGTGTCACCTTTAAGTCCGGAATGGGTTGGAGTGCCTTTCTAGATACAGTTGAATCCACTTCTGGCCCTTGCTGAGTTGGACTTGTTCCAGGAGTCAGGACCCTTTTCATTAGCTCTTCATATGCGGTTTCAGCATCCAACAATGGTTTCCCATCTTTCCCCAGTGTTACTGTACCGCTATCTGAGAAGGTTTTCTCAGACGGTTGCAACACTATTTGAGGGTTTGTGTTTTCGTTTTTGGGCTGCATATCTTGATATTCCTGCTCAAGCTTCATGAATTCTTTTCTTTTCTTTATCATGTCTTCATAAACTTCATCTGGGGATCTAAGCTTTTTGGGTTCAGCAGGAATGACAATTTTCTCTTGCTCCCCAAGATCAGCTGTTGAATTGTCAATAAGAGATGTATAGGCATAGTCTTCAATGAGCATGCCCCCATAAAGTGACTCCTTTCCAGGTTGAAGCTCTACTTTTTCAACTGTTGGAGAAGTAGCCCTGAGCATTATTTCCTCATAAGCCTCATCTGCAGATTTAAGAGTTTTTGTCTGTGGATTATCAATGTTTTGATCATCTGTTGGAGAGTAGAGAGATACTGATGTAGGCAGTTGATAAGTTTTCTGAACTGCCGCAATCTTTGCAGCATGGATTTCAAACCCTTCAGGATCTGATTCAATACTTGGAGAGAAATCAGAGCAGGATGATCGTCTGATTTCCTCCATTTCAGCTTCTTGCCTCAGTTCCTCAGTTGGTGAAGCGTCTTCAATGGGTGACAAGTTGCTTGGAGGTGTCCTTGAGTGCTCTCGCCTTCTTTGGGCTCGAATTTCATCTTTGTCTTTCTTTGATTTTTTTCCAGAGCCCTTCTGTTTTTCTTGCTCCCTTAGAAGCTCTTCTTCTTCCCGTAACTCATCTTCCTCAGAAGAGTCTTCAATAGTTGGTAGCATTTGACCAGGCTGTCTGTGTTTGGCTTTCCTATGTTGTTTACCCTCACCAGAACGGTTATGGCTTGGACTACTACTGTCACTGTCTTCATCAAGTGATGAAAGGGATGTTGGGGATGTTCCAGGAGTGAAGCTTGATGCATGCAGACTGGAAGACCCCTCACCTTTTGACCGATCATCTGGAGAGTCTGTAAGGCATTCCATTTCGGGGTCTCCATCATTATTAGGTATACGAATTGGGCTGCTGACAGTATTCAGCTCCATAGTTTGGAAATTGCGAACTGCAGTACCAATCCTTTCTTCTTCTACTTTTGTATCTTGTTCCTCCTCTTTGTTGGCATCAGGTTTTTCCAATGAGCTGCTAAGGATCTTATTTTCTTCATCATCTGGACTTATGGTGCTCTTCTTGGTAAGTCGCCTGGCTTTTCCAGATGTGCTCCTTTCTACAACCTCTGATTTCTTCTGTTCCATATGTTTCCTCTCATCCTCTCTAATCTTTCTCCGGATTAGATTTTCCTCATCAGACGGAGAAGCATCCTCATTCTCACTCATTTCCATAATTTGTTTTCGGATAAAGTCCTCATCATCCCCTGACATAGGGCTCTCTTTTCCAATGCTTTCACTGCTTTCATCGAGTGAATCTGCTCTGACTTCCATGGGCACGAGGAGCTTTTTCTTCGGGGTAGCTTTGGTCACCGAGAGTTCTCTGTCATCCTCTGAGCTAGGTGAATCAGGTGAGAGAGGAAGCACCTCTAATTTGCGTCTGGTCTTGAGAGTGTCTGTTAGTTTCTCCTCATCATCCTTTGGTTTCATGATAGCTTGGGCCTCAAGGATTGGAAGGACCATGCTTTCCAGCTTGGCTAGGTCTGATGGGCTGGTGGGGCTGCCCTCCGTGCCAGCAATTACTTTCTTTCCAGTGTCTTTCAAGGTTTCCACCACTTTCACCTGTTGGGTTAAAAAAAAAAAAAAACACAATAAGTTCATAAAAAGTCTAGTGAGTTCAGTTAAATCTTCTAAAATGTGTTGTGAGGGTATCATTTTGTTGTTTTAATTTCAAGGAACAAGGCAAATAAAGTACTTTTAAGGAATTATTTTAACTATCACTGGAGTGTACAGTTAAATGCTGTCTGTAAACTAATAATTGAACTTGAAAGTGTTTGAACAATGCTTTTCAGCCATTTGCATTTAATTGCTCTCCTGAAATGCCGATGTGCATTACAAAAGAAACAGCATAAAAATACATCATAAACACAAAAAAATCATAAAGTCCAACACAACTAGTGCTACACTATATACAATGGTCACCTCAGCGACTGCATCATCATCATCAATGGGCTTTTCCGATGGCTTTGATTTAGCCTCCTCTTTCTCCTCCACATTATGGGTTTTCTCCTTTATGCTATGTTCCTGCTCTCCTGCTACAGAGACTAGGGTTTCAGGTTTTTCTACAGGAGCAGAAGCTACTGATACAGACACACCTTCTTCATTTTTAAAAGTTGCTTCTATTGGGTCCTTTCCTGCATCAATTTGTGCAGTGTCATCTTTGTTACAGACAGTACTTGTCTCTAATTCTAAATTAGGTTTTTGGATTTTGTCATCAACAGGTTGGGACTCAAGCTCTTTTTGCTCAAGTTGTTCTTCAGTTTCTTTGTTCTCAGTGACTTTCTCATGGAGCTTCAAATCACTGTCTGTCAGACCTGACGTCTCTTTCTCTATTTCAGGTTCATATTCAGTAATCCTGTTTGTCTTTTTTGAACTAGCTTCTGTGTCATCCTTCATGTTCTCTCCATCACAGGCTTTATCTTTAACTTGTGTCTCACTAATGATACCAGACTGCATGGACTCCTCTGCGTTGACTTTGTCTTTTTCTTCACAATCAGGAGTAGCTGTTTTCTCAGATTCATTTACTGCTTTTAACATTGTATCTATTTGTGTCTGCTTTTCCTCTTCCCTGGCTACACTTTCTGCTACAATAGGCTTTTCTGTCTCCTCTGACTTCTCTGAAAATGATGCCGTCTCTACAAGGCTTTCCTGAGCGACTGATTCTGTTTCTTCTTTTTGTTTCTGTATCACTTCTTTGGGGATTTCTTCAGCAGCTGTTGGCTCTCTGGCTGTTTGTGATTGTTTTTGCTCTCTTACAGGGAGAACAACCTCTGTCTCAGTGGAGGAGAGGGCTGGACCTGATTCTGCTTGATTAACCTCCTCCTCTAGAGGTTTCTGGTCATTTGCCTTTTCAGCTGCTTTCTTTTCAGTTGCTTCTTCTTCAAAAGCGTTCCTCTTTTCAGGTTTTACCTCAACAGACCTCTCTGCATCTGCATTTCCCTTCACTACATCCTTTTTAAATGCTTTGCCATTCAATGATATATTCTCAATTTCTGCTGTTTCCTCAACTGTTTCCTTTTTAAGAGTTTCTTCCTCTACTATTTTTTCTTCTGCAGTGTCCTTTATTGTTTTCACCTCATCAGAAATTTTGTCTTCAACTCTCTCAGGTGTTTCCTCCTTAGCCATTTCCCCTTTAAGAATAACTTCTTCAGAAGCCTTATTCTCTAAAGCGTTCTCATTTGTTTTCTCAGGTGCCTTTGTTTCCTCTTCAACCGGAGCACCAGGAGGTGATTTATCAGCTGAGTCAAGAGGAGTATGCCCTTTCTCTTTTTCCTCAACTATTTTAGCCTGACTGTCCTCCTCTGAGGCTGAAACAAGAGGTTTGTTTTCTGAAACGTCTAATTGTTCCGATTTATTGTTGTCTGGTTTTAATTCTTGCTTGTTTTCATCAAGTTTAGAGACCTCAATGTTGTCAGTAGGGGCTACAGGAGCTACCTTTTCTGCAGCTTCAACTGGAGGAAGAGGAGTGTCTTCTCCTGCCAATGGCTTATCTGCTATTGGTTCTGGTTCAACCTTTAATTCTTCAATGACCTCATTTTTCACACTGGGTTCTACACTGTTTGCCTCAAGTTTTTCAGTGATATCTGTTTGCTCCTCATCAACAGCTGTACCCTCTGTATGTGATGGAGTTTGAATTGGCGGAGTATCTTGTGCTTCATCTATCTTTGGCTGCTCAATTTGCTCACATCGTTCCGCCTCTGTTATTTTTTCCTCTTTTACATTTGCAGCTGTAGAATCTGACATTTTATCAAGTGTGACAGGAACTTCGTGTGGTAATGATTCTGGGCTCATTGTAGGCTCTGGCTCAATTGAATTTGTTGTCACTTCTGAGAGCTTTTCTGGGATGGTCTCTATTTTGTCATTATCTGGTTGGGAAGCTGCAGCTTCACTCTGAGAAATCTGTGGATCTGGCTCTGTTTCTACCTCAGCAGGGATTGTTGTCTCATCTGAACCTTTATTTGTCAATAGATCTTGCTCCTCAGTATTAACAGGGGGAGAAATCTCCTCTGTTACATTCTCAGAGCTACTCTGTTGTTCTGGAACTGCTGGGATTTCAGTGACAGGGGCACTCTGGGCTTCTTGCTCAACATTGGGTGGCTCCTTCTCAGGGAGAGGATGCTCCTCTGCTACTTCCTCAGAGCAACTCTGCTGTTGCTCAGCAGCTGGGATTTCACTGACTGCTGCAATTTGTGTTTGTTGATCAGCATCAGATTTCTCTGTCTCAAGCTGAGGACCATCCTCTCCAATTTTCTCAGCGGAGCCCTGCTGCTGTTCGACTGCCTGAGCTGCAGGGATATCCTCAGCTACACTCTCTGAAATTGGAATTTGCTGTTCAGGTAGAATTACAGGCTCTGACTCTGTTTCAGCTGCAAGCGGCTGTTCTGGTTCTTCTGACTGTGGTATTTCTTGAGGAGTGCAATCAGGTGGAGGAGGGGCACTAGCAGAAAGAGGGGCATCATGATCAGGTGAAATGGATGCACTATCCAGTGAGGGGGTGCTTGCACTCTCTACCTTGGTCTCAGGAGCAGGTGGGGTAGGGTCTGCTGCTTCTACTACAGGTTTGCTATCTACAGCAGTAGGGGCAGGGGTGGAGGAGGGAACAGGAGCAGGTGGTTGCTTCTTCGGGGATTCCATGGCTTGAGATGGCACGTCTCCTAGCTGACCCGACATGGCTCTTTGGGTCTGACAATGGAGGCAAAGCCATTCTTTCTGTAAGACAAGGATAACAACAAATTGTTACTCTTCAATCTAATAACTGTTCGATTAAACTGCAGGAAAATTCACACAAAAAAGTAGAATATGTCTTCAATCAAACACAGTTATGTGATGCAATATGTTTGTACTGAGTTAAAATGTCACTCTGACAAGGCACCAGTTGAGATTCTTCCATTTCAGGGAAGCTTTTACATTTGCCGGACTTAAGAGACAGACCCATGATGAATAATGCATGGTAATGGGACAGGAGTTTACCAGTGCATGTCGGAAAGGCCTTTGTAGACATTGCATGTAGCAGACTTTAACAAGAGACTGTGTCTGAATGTGTATTTGTGGTTTTATTATTGGTGTGCACATGTGAATGCATGCTTTCAACATGACAGTAGAATGTATACATGTCTGAAACATGTTTTAACCCGACCATTCAGCCTGTTGTAAATCAAACATTAAAGCCAGCAAAGACCTTTTTCTTTTCTTTTTTTTTAATTCAGGGCCGTTTATTCTTTGAGTTCCATTAATTTGTCTATAAAATGCTCTGATGAATCTGTCCTGTCATTCTATTTTGTTATTGTTGTATATTTTCAGGTTATTATTTTAACACAGGGCTCAATAGGAACATGCTGTAGGCTGAAGGCCATGCAGCGGTTGATATTTCAAGAGCTGCAGCTAATATTGGAGTTAAGTGGCCAGCACTTCATGCTTTAAGTGGAAACAAAAGAAAATAAACAAAAAGGCTGTAATTAAAGATAAATAAATGAATAAATAACTCTATAATCACTATAAACAAATACATCCACCTATCCACAAGGGGAGAACAGGCCAGAACATTTTATATAGAAAGCACACACATTCATCTTCCACACACACCACATGCAAACACACAAATACAGAGACTGTCAGAAGAGGTGAGAGTCAGCATGTTTTGAACCCTCTACTCTGACTAGAAAAAAAAAACACTCTCACAATTCTCTGTGCAGCCCCCCCCTCCCTCTCCCCCTCCCTCTCCCCCCTCCGATTGTGCATGTCTTCGCCTGGCTTAGCAGGAGGGTTTATGCTAAAATCGGGTTTCAGTGAAGATCTCAGCCTGCATAACAAACCATGCAGCAGACAAGCCACTTCTCTTCACAAAAAGAAAGGAGGAGACAGGAGGAGGATGGTAAAAGACGACTGAGGGAATGTCGCAGCAGCAAAGTCAGGGTAAATAAGGCATGAGGCTAACCTGCTTCCATCTGTGCCAAAAGAGAAGGAGACTCACTTTAGAAAGAATGACAGGCCTGCACCCACATCCCAGTGGCATGAACCCAACCATAAAAAGGCAGAAAAAATGTTTTGATAGCATAAATATTTATAGTGTTTATAAATTCATGATTCACAACAAAAGGAATAGTGATGAAACAGGGAGTTTTAGAGTTTGGAAGGAGTGAAGGTAACTGATGAAAAAAATAGTATCCACAAAAGATGCCAGGTTGCCTTCAATCATGAAGGTTTGCTGACGTTAGTAACATTCCCAGCTTGACAGAAATCCAGTTAATCCTCAGACCTGGTGATGGACACAGCACAGATGCCAGTGCATTTTGGGTGTGTGTGTATATGTGCGTGGACAAGGACGCGCTATCTACATGACCCCTCCCAGCAGGAACGGATGAGAGGACTTGAGATAGGAGTTTCACCGGCTCGACGGCTCCATCAGTTAAACCAGAAAGAGCAGGCACTGAGGGCCGGAGAGATGGCAGCCGATAAGAAGAGCTGCAAACACGCTCCATCAGACAGTCGGTCAACCTCAGCCGCTTCAGAGACAGACATGTTAACAACACATCAAAACAGGCTCACTTAGAGCTTTTATCACCTTATCAAAATCACTTGGTCAGTGTGTTTCTTAAAGCTACGGTGCAGAAATTCTCCCTTTTAAGTAATTTGCAATAATCCCCTTGTATAAGCAGACATGGTGATCTGATTCACTACTTTTGCTTAATTGCCATCTCCAACGTATATCCTACTGACATGTCCTGCAGCAATCTCCCTGAAGGGCAATCAAGGCATTAAGAGTCCTACTGGCTTTATTTAAAGCTTGGCAGCTCCGACATAAACAGCCAGAAACTCATTTCAGAAGTCTGTACACAATGAGTGTGTGTTTATCTCCCCAGGTAGGCTGGAGCACTTAATGCCTCAGCAAAAAGCTGGAGCCAAAGATGTCCAGCCAGTTATTAAAAGCGTGTTCTCTCTGTCCTTGTTGTTAAGAATTTCTTTAAAATGGTTCTAAAACACGTGATCTCTTAGATTATCAAACAATAATTCTGCCGATTCTGTCACTGCAGATTTAGTACTCTTTATTTTTAGACTTTTGCTCAACATAACACACATTAATAACGCAATTCTGAGTCCACAGCCATGCTTGGAGTTCTGTTCCTGCTCTTCACAAGACATTGCCTTAAGCTAAAAGCTATCATAAGTATGCTAACATGCTCAAATGTGTGCATGTTTATATTTAGCATGTAATATTTATAGTGTTGTGTGTTAGCATGCCAAGATTTCCTAAACAGTACAAGCAAAGCTGTCGTAGTAGTTGATTATAAAACCATGGAAAGGACAAACTTATTTTTATCTGCATGATGGCAGTATTCAAAAAACTTGAATCCAACGTTTCTTTAATCCTCATCAAAAATAAACAGAATCTATTTGGGGGGGGGGGATTGTGATGGGAACAGTTTGTAGAAATATAAAAGTTAAGTTATTGTAGCTCTTAAAGGGCCGGTGGGCCTTACAGTCAAAAAGATTTGTTGTTTGGACATTCTATTGATATCTGGGCCAAATTATGTTGACAGTTCATTCATGACAAACAGGAAATGCTTCTTGGATCAGACTACAATGTGAAATTAAACAAGTTTCAACAGAAAGCCATAACCATTTCCTCCCAACAAACAAACAAACTGGAAGATGTCACCATATTAAGCACATCATAAGGTTTCAGCTATTGATGAGGCTCTGTGTTGTGTTTACATGTGTATTACATTTCACAACAATCTATCAAACAAATGTTGAGGAAATCTCAGTCTGACAAAAGGGATTGATTGACCTGCCAATAGACCAAGATTGTTAAGCCACACTAGTAGCATGGTTAAAAAATAATGAACCAATTAATTGATAATGGAAATCAACATTTAAAGCCCTTTTATTAACAAGGGAAACGCTTGTCTTGCTACATTTCCTTGTAACATACACTAACAAGACAGGTCTATTTTTATACAACAATCTATCGGCTTCAAGCGTTCAGATAACTGCAATGTGCCACTGTAATGATGAATTCTAGGAACAGGAGCATGGATGATTCATAAAAGCAGGGGGGAGTCACTCGCTCACATCACTATCTTACAAGGGTGTCTTCTACCAGCACATGTGCATGGAAACCAAACAGGTGACACATATCAGCACCCACAGAGATTGGATTCTGACGGTGATGATGATATGCACACACTCAGATGAAAGGCATGAAATACCTCGGAAACGAGATGTCAACTTGCTCTCTCCTCCCATGTCACATTTCTATAAGTATAAACTCAACGTGACAGATTAGAGACATATTAACATCTCCAAGAAAAAAAACAAACAAAAATCCACAGACAACCAGATACTGTACCCCATGTTGGTTATTGTTTCCAACTGGGAGTTGGAGTGTTGTGTAGGTCGGTTCAGCTCTTTGATTAAGACATGGGATCCTATGAGGTTTACTCGACTAAATTTAGTTTGAGTCTGGCACCGAGAGTGGGAGGAGAACATGATCTAGAGGATGGGACAGATGGATGAAAACACATGGGAGGATGTAGAAGAGACAGGTGGAAGAGGGGGGGGGGAGTAAGAGTGATAATGTTGTGTGAGAAACAAGAGAAAACAGGAAGCTGGGGAAAAGGGGACATAACAAAAGGCAGGAGGGGAAAAAAAAGAGAGTGATGTACTGTGGGAAAAGGTAAAGCAGTAGAAGTTAAAGAGCTTATTGGTCATTGGAGGTGACTCAACACCTGCCTCTGCCAACAAGCTTTACTTTATCGCCCCTTAAATCTGTTAATCAATTGCCAGGAAGTCAGGAAAAGCTGCAGTTCCTTTTGGCTGCCAAGAATGACCGAAAGACGTTACAGCACAATTTAGATCTTAGTTGTATAGCAGCACTACATCCAGGTTTACTTCTACACCTGGCTTTTATCTCATAGGGTGTTTACTCAAGGAGGGTTCAATCTCAAAATAAAGGAAACAGTCCAAAATTGTCATGATTATGCGAATGGATTAGGAGTTTACTGCCATTCTTATATTAGCAGCAAGACCGTATCCTGTAGAAAAGAAATGGATGTAGCTTGACTACGGTGCGACTAAAGGGACAAAATAGCATTCGGTCAATGCAATTACAAAAATGCATGCATTCATTTCAGACCTTATTCTCATCATGATTAACATGTTAATGCTAATAATGACAGTCCTAAAAAAAACATACACAATGAAATGTCATCACTTTACAACATGTTTCTGCGTGAAAGTCCACAAAAACATGGGAGGGTGATCAGAACTGAGCTTTCAACAGCATCCAGAGCTAATGATGGATTTCACACTGAGACCTGTCAGCAGGTAAAAGAAGGAATATTTTCTAAAACAAACCCTAACCAAGCGATTCCTTTAAACACGATTATTTTTTCCATCCTTATTCTAAGGTCTCCATCTGTACAGTACAGGCAAGAAACACTGATTGACGTTCATGTAACCAAGGTAGAAGGCATATTATTGTGTTACCATGCAACACCCACAATCCCAGAGAGCTTTGAAAAGGCTTTGGTTTCTAAATGGATTTGTTCTTGAATGTTAACAATGCAATTGTAGTCCAACAGTATTTCAGACTATGAGAATTTTTGTTTTTTAAAAGAGACGACTTCAGGCAGTCCTTGCTGACTGAAAGGGACATTTTATCCTGTAAGACACAAATGATATTTATAATCAGCATGTTTCTGTAGTCA